ACCAGATGCCCATAAATGTTGTAATTATACCAGCCTCCACCACCTTCTCTGGCAGCTCATTCCATACACACACCACTCTCTGAAAAAGTTGCCCCTTAGGTCCCTTTTAAATCTTTCCCCTCTCACCTTAAACCTATACCCTCTAGTTTTGGACTCCCCCACCCTGGGGAAAAGAGCTTGGTTATTCACGTTATCCATGATTTTATAAACTCTTGTAAGGTCACCCCTCAACCTCTGATGTTTCAGGGAAAAATAGCCCCAAACTATTTCTGAAGAGGAATTGGACAAGCACTTGAAGAGAGAAAGAATTTTCAGGTCTACAGTGAAAGGGCAGGGGGAGTGGGACTGGCTCATTGGCTGGCAGATGTTGGCCTAACCCTGGATTATTGAGGTTGAGAAACTTGGAGAAAAAGTTGCCCCTTAGGTCCCTTTTAAATCTTTCCCCTCTCACCTTAAACCTACACCCTCTAGTTTTGGACTCCCCGACCCTGGGCAAAAGACCTTGGCTAATCACCCTATCCCTGCCCCTCATGATTTTATTAACCATCCGTCAGCCTCCGACGTTTCAGGGAAAATTCAGCCTCGCCCTATAGCTCAAACCCTCCAACCAGGCAACATCCTTGTAAATCTTTTCTGAACACTTTCAAGTTTAACAAAATCTTTCCTACAGCAGGGAGACCAGAATTGAAAGCAGTATTCCAAAAGTGGCCTAACCAATGTCCCGTACAACCACAACATGACCCGTCCCAACTCCTATACTCAATACTTAACTTGTGCCTGCTTTAAGAGTGGTTTTATTGAGTCAATTTGCTATGGCTAAAAGACCTGAAAGATCCCATATTTGTCCGTCCTATTGTCTTTGTATTTGTATGTGTCTGCACTTTGTGGTACACCTGAACTCTTGCTTCCCTGGTCCCCACTGTAATTCCCAAATCCCTTTGTAGATCAAAGCTTTTGTCTAACTCAACTTGGAGAGTGAGCATTGTGCACAGTTCATGCCATCACTCTGTAGGAAGGAAGAAATTGCATTGGAGAGAATGGAGAAGACATCTATAAGAGACACTTCAGTTAGGAAGATAGATTTGAGAAGTCGTGCCTGTTTTCTTTGGAGAGAGAAAGAGGCCAAAAGGATATTTAACAGAATGCTTCAAAATCATGGAGGAGACCAGATATCAAAATACTGCTCCCACTCAAAAGGATTTGGAACTGGTAGGCATGGTTTTTTAACATGTTTTCCAACCGTATAAGACAGGAGTGGCACAGTGGCTCAGTGGTTAGCACTGCTGCCTCACAGCGCCAGGGACCCAGGTTCAATTCTACCCTCGGGCAACTGTCTGTGTGGAGTTTGCACATTCTCCTTGTGTCTGTGTGGGTTTCCTCCCACAGTCCAAACGTGTGCAGGTTAGGGTGGATTGGCAGTTTTAAATTGTCCTGTAGTGTCCAGGGATGCAGGTGAGTCTGGGTGGGATGCTGTTTGGAAGGTTGGAGTGGACTTGATGGGCCGAATGGCCTGCTTCCACACTGTAGGGACTCCAGGAGCAGAAAAATCGACCATTCCATAAGATCGTGGCTGATCTCTGCATTTTGAATTCCACATTTCTATCTACCCCCGATTCCCTTGCACAATAAAAATTTATCTACCTCAATTTTTAAAATATTTAGTGACCTGCTACTTGAGTTAACTAAAGTTATGCAACCCACAGAGAGAAAATTCCTCCTAATTCATTCCTAAAAGGGCAGTTGGGGGTTTTTAGTGCTGCATCGTCCTGAATTAACTCACAAGAGAAGAAACATCCCTCCCTCCAACATTTTACAAAACCGCTTGATTGTACATACTTCAATCGATTTTGAGTATAGGAATTGGGACATCATGTTGAGGTTGTATAGGACATTGGTGAGGCCTCTTTGGGAGCACTGTGTCAGTTCTGGTCACCCTGTTATAGGAAGGATATCATTAAACTGGAGACGGTTCAGAAGAGATTTACCAGGACGTTGCTGGGTATGAAAGGTTCGAGTTGTAAGGAAAGGCTGGATAGGCTGGGACTTTCTTCACTGGAGCATAGGAGGGTGAGAGGTGACCTTATTGAGGTTTATAAAATCATGAGGGGTATAGATAGGGTTAGTGGCAGTTGTCTTTTCCCTAAGATGGGGGATTTCAACACTAGGGAGCACATTTTTAGGGTGAGAGGAAAAAGATTTAAAAGAGACATGAAGGACAACTTTTTTTTTACACAAAGAGTGGTTCGCATGTGGAATGAACTTTCTGAGGAAGTGGTGGATGTGGGTACAATTACAAATTTAAAAGACACTTGGATAAGTACATGAATAGGAAAGATTTGGAGAGATATGGACTACGTGCAGGCAGGTGGGACTGGTTTAGTTTGGGATTAAGTTCGGCACAGACTAGTTGGACCGAAGGGTCTGTTTCTGTGCTGTATGACACTATGATTCTATAAGTTACTTCTACCCTTTAAATTCCAACTTATCTCAAAAGACAACCCAGTCACTCCATGTAGCTATCCAGTGAACCTTCTCTGAACCACCTCCAATATACTTCCATCCTTCCTTAAGTAAACAGACCAAAATGGCACAAAGTATTTGTGACGTGTTCTCACTGAAGCAATGACATCCTTTCTTTCACGTTCAACTCCTTTTGTAATTAGAACCCCTAAATCTTTCGACACTCAAATTCTGCAGTTGTTCCCTATTTAATGGAGCTACACCCTGGAGCAAATGAGAGGTGAGAAAAAGATGGTCAGTTAGCTCAGTTGGCTGGACAGTTGGTTTGCGATGCAGAGTGATGCCAGTACTGGGGTTCAATTCCTGCTCTGATGGAACTCTCCTTCTGAACCGCTTACCCTGTTGCCTGAGGATTGGTGATCCTCTGGTTAAACCATCAGTTGTCTCTCTCCCTCTCTCTAATAAGAGAGCAGACCTGTGGGGTTCAGGTCTAAAGTGCATTTTGTAGAACATCCACAGTGTGGAAAGAGGCCATTCAGCCCATCGGGTTCACAGTGACCCTCCAAAAGAGCATCTCACCCAGCCTCAGTCCCACACCCTATCCTTTAACGCCGCACATTACTATGGCTACTCCATCCTCTGGTCACTATGGGGCAATCCACCATAACCTGCACATCTTTAGATGGTGGGATGAATCCGGAGCACCCTGTGGAAACCCACGCAGACATGGGGAGAATGTGCAAACTCCATGCAGACTGTCGCCCAGGGGATGGAATTGAACCTAGGATTCCTGGAGCTGAGGGGCAGGGCACCACCATGCCACTTGCTGTAAGGGTGGTGGAGGTAGCTTCCAATGAGGCATTCAAGAGAACATCAGATGATTGTTTCTAGTCAAATAATGTGCGAGGGTATGGGTAAAGACTGGCACAAAGTTAAAGTGCTCAGCGAGATGGTGCAGACATGACGGGCTGAATGGTCCCCTACTGCACCATAAGTCTCCAATGATTCTGATATATTCAATGGCCATTTGGCCCAACTAGTCCACACCGACCCTCCCTCCCAGAAACACCCCCTACCCTATCCCTGTAACCCTGCATTACCCATGGCTAACCCACCTAGCATACACATTCCTGGACAATACAGGCAATTTAGCATGGCCAATCCACCTTAACCTGCACATCTTTGGGCTGTGGGAGGAAACCGGAGCACCCAGAGGAAACATACACAGACACGGGGAGAATGTGCAAACTCCACATTTGCCCGAGGGTGGAATCGAACCCGGGTCCCTGGCGCTGTGAGGCAGCAGTGCTAACCACTGATCCACCTTATGTGGGTGTGGGAATCGCTGGCTAGACCAGCATTCATTGCCCATCCCTAATTGCCCAGAGGGTAGTCGATAGTCAACCGCATTGCTGTGGGTCTGAAGTCACTGTAGGCCAGACCAGGTAAAGGTAGCAGTTTCCTTCCCTAAAGGACATTAGCGAACCAGATGGTTCTGTGTGTCTTCTTTCTTCCTTGTTTTATTGAAAAGTCAATGACCAGAAGCATTAACTTTCTTTGTAATGGGCTGGAGTGTCAGCCCTGGATTTTTGTGAAGAAACAGGATTTGAATCTTCAACCAACAGACTGAGACAACTCTAAGCTCTCACTGGGACAGGAGTGATAATTTGTAACAATATTCTATAGGCAGGGATGAAGAGAAAGAAGATCTGATTACTGATCTGTAACGTTAATTCTCTCTCAGCACAGTTCCTGTCTAATCTACAATTGTAGAGTCATGGAGACATGCAGCATGGAAACAGACCCTTTGGTCCAACTCGTCCATGCTGACCAGATATCCTAAACTAATCTAGTCCCATTTGCCAGCATTTGGCCCATATCTCTCTAAACCCTTCCTATTCACATACCCATCCAGATGTCTTTTAAATGCTTTAATTATACCAGAATCCACCACTTCCTCTGTCAACTCATTCCATACATGCACCATCCTCTGTGTGAAAATGTTGCCCCTTAGGTCCCTTTTAAATTTTTCCCCATTTACCTTAAACCTATGCCCCTAGTTTTGGACTCACTCAACCTGGGGAAAAGATTTTGTCTATTTACCCTATCCATGCCCCTCATAATTTTATAAACCTCTATAAGATCACCCCTCAGCCTCCAAAGTTTCAGAGAAAATAGCCCCAGTCTATTCAGCCTCTCCCTATATGTAAAACCCTCCAACCCTGGCAACATCCTTGTAAATCTTCTCTGAATCGTTTCAAGTTTCACAACATCCTTCCTATATCTGGGAGACCAGAACTGCACGCAGCATTCCAAAAGTGGCCTAAGCAATGTCCTGAATAGCCAGAACATGACCTCAACTCAATGCACTGAGCAGTAAAGGCAAGCATATCAAATGCCTTCTTCACTATCCTATCTATCTGGGGTTCCAGTATTTCCAAAATTTTTGTGCTTTTATTTCGGTATGGGACTTTGTATTTTACAGTAAATGACCTCTCTCAACTGCCTGTGTAATTTAATCATATTAAGCAAGCACTTGCCTCCAAAAATGTGATTATGTCTTCTTGGTTCATTCGTGCCTCTAGGTCTGATATCTCTTGTTCAGCACAGTCTAGCTCCTGTTGGATTACACTGAGTGCTTCCTCCATTGCATTTAGAATCCTCTCCTCTTCTCTGCTGAGGTCTCCAAGTAAACATTGTTCTTTCCTGGTGAGAAACTCGTGCATTTTCGCAAACTCAGATGTGATGTGGGCCTGCAGGCTGCTTGACTGTTCCTATCAAATGAGATGTGAAAAATTGTCAACACACATAGATAAAGGTGTTGTGATCCCAGCTGATGGTAGCAGTGGATATGTCAGATCCCAGAGTGGGACCTGTCTGAATATACCATAAGTTCTATTGTTGCTATTTGTTTACTGTTGTAGTCATTGAACATATTCAGAAGAGGCTGCCAGCGTACTTTTAACAAAAGAATAGAAAGATTTATTCCACACAAAAAAGGAACACAAAACACCAACTGTAGTACACCAAGACCCAAGTGAAATGGTCTTATTACAAATACGAGAAATAAAGATTCAACCCTTGTACCGTCAACAAAAAGCTGATAGATACTCAATCCTCAGTCAAAGGTCACCCTGTTTCCCCCTTCAAACGTTCTTTGTTCAGCTGACATGGTTGTAATTGGTTTCTGAATTTTTTACATGGCAGCTCTTTCGTCAATGGGGAGGCAATAGCCTACTGGTATTATCGCTGGACTATTAATCCAGAGACCTAGGTAATGTTCTGGGGACATGGGTTCAAATCCCACCACGGCAGATGGTGGAATAAAATTCTGGAAGTAAGAGTCCAATGATGACCATGAAACCATTGCTGATTGTCAGAAAAACCCATCTGGTTCACTCATGTTGTTTAAGGAAAGAAGGAAATTGCTATCCTTATCTGGTCTGGCCTACATGTAACTCCAGACCCACAGCAACATGGTTGACTCTTAACTGCCCTCTGGGCAATTAGGGATGGGCAGTAAATGCACAGCCAGCCCTCTTCCCGTGAATGATTTAAAAAGAATCCCTTTGAGGCCATTGAAGAAATCACTAACACAGCTCACACGTTTATTAACATGGATTTTACAAACTGTTCTTCCAATGTCATTTAAATATGGAGTTTTTTTCTCTCTTATTGACACTGTGTCACCCAGGCCTTCCTATCTATTGCTTTGATGGTTTTGGAGATGGATAAAAACTAACACCACCTTTTCCTGACTGACCCAACCTGCATTGGTTCACCCTCCCTCATTCATATGACATGTTGTTGCTTGGCAACAGCAGGGGATTTTTCCTCCTTTATTCTTGTTATTAATGGAACTATTAGCATTAAAAAGCCTCGCTTAAGGATACATAAACAAATTTTCAGACAACCCCATCACTCACAGAACTCAAAGATGAAACTAAGCAATGTTTCCCCTCCCCACCTCACACAACGTAGAAATACAATTCAAACTTAAAGCTATACATGCCCCTTTGACTGTAGAACCTGAATCTCCACATCATAATCATAAAATATCATGACCTTTCATTATAAGGGGAATAAAGCTAACTGAGATTCTGGAAAATCAGCATGGGAACACATACCTTAACTTTAGAAATCTCCTGTTTCTGCATCAGTTTAGCCCTGAGCACTCGAAGTTTCCTTCTGGTAGCTGAGTTCAATGATAATTTCAGTCTTTCCTGGAATCAGAGCATTAATTCAGTGCCATAAACATGTTTAAATGGAGTACTGAGGAAAAAGGAATGACTTGCATTTATATTGCGCCTCTGGTGCATCAGGGCACTACAAAGTCCTGTACAGTCAGTTCAGTGCTTTTAGAAATGTGCTTACTGTTGAACAGAGAAAAAGACAGCTAACAGTTTGCACACAGTAAGCTCCCACAAATAGCAATGTGATAATCTATTTGTTTTACCATTGGCCAGAAGATAAATATTGCCCAAGACACAACAGTGATCTCTGCTCTACTTCAAAACAAACTATGCAATCTTTTACATCCAGAGGACAATGAGGCCACAGGATTTGATCTGAAAGACAGCAGTGCTTACAGTTTTACACTTACTAACTGCTGTTACTGGAGTATTAGCCTGTGGGCAAGTGTCTGAAGTGAGACTCGAACCTGGGACCTTGTGATACGGAGATAAGCAACAGACCAACTGAGTCACAGCTGACATCTCGGAAGGAAACAGCCTGACAAAGTCTGTCAAGGAACAACCTTCAATTTGGACACTCAACAGCCTTCGGGGCTTAACACTGAGTTCGCAATGTTAAAGCAAAGTCTCATCCCCCATCCATTCACAAGTTCCTTCACAACTCTCCCCCAACTGTTATAGACAGCAACGGTTCACAAAGAGTTAACATTGAAGCTGCATTAGCTCCACCCAATCTGATGACATCACATAGCCTATGGCTGGAGACATGGGGTCCTACACACGCTTTCAGAGGGAACAGATGTAATCTTTACAGCTCCCAGGAGTCCTTAGTAACTGTGCCTGAATAGTCATGTTATGCCTTAGTTATAAAGGGAATTGGTCAGACCAAATCTCGATGACGGGGTGCATTAGACCTCCTTATTTTAGGAAGGATGTTGATGTGTGTTGGAGGCAGTTTTGAAGATGTTTACTCTCTGGGACGAGTGGGTTATGAAGAAAGGTTGAACAGCCCTCTGAACCTACAAACTCTCCAGCCTAGAAGAGACAAGGGTAATTAGATGCACGGGAGTACCACCAGCTCCACATTTCCCTCCCACGTCACCCACTGTCCTGGTTTGGAATGTATCCCTACTCCTTCACTGTCACTGGATCAAAACCCTGAGTCAACAAACTGCAGAGATTCCAGAAGGCAGCTCACCAAAACGGCTGGGGGAGGCTGACCTATTTGATGTGTACAAGATCCAGAGTGATCTTGACAAGGTGGGTGTGAAAAGGTTGTTTCCTCTTGTGTACAAATCCAGAGCTCATTTGCCGATTAAGCGGTCACTCTTTCATCACAGAGACTGGAGAAATAACCATTTTATCTCCAAACAGTTCTGCAACTTTGGAACACGGCCTCAGAAGGCACTGGAAGCAGGGTCAGTGCGTCTGATTTTTAGGTTTTGGCAGATAGAACCTTGCTAGTCAAGGGAATCTAAGGTTATCAGGAGTGGATGAGGATGTGAAATTCAAAACGATGAGATGAACCATGGCCTCGCAGAATGGCAGATCAGGGTCAAGGGGCTGGATGGTCTAATCCTGCTTCTTATCTGTGTGTTTGTTAAACTGTGCTTATTACCATCATGTGATAAGCACCTTAGAGTCATACAGCACGGAAACAGACTCTTCGATTCAACTAGTCCAATCCAATCATAATCCCAAACTAAGTTAGTCCCACTTTCCTGCACTCGGTCCATAACCCTCCAAACATTTCTTATCCATGTATTTATCTGAACAACTTTTCAACGTTGTGACTGTACCTGCATCCACCACTCCATCAGGAAGTTCATTCCACACACGAACCACCCTCCGTGTAAAGAAATTGCCCCCCCATGTCTTTTTTACATCTTTCTCCTCTCACCTTAAAAATATGCCCCCGAGTCTTGAAATTCCCCACCCTAGGGAAAAGACACCTGCCATTCACCTTATCTATATCCCTTATGATTTTATAAACCTCTATATGGTCACCTCTCAACCTCCTACACTCCAGGGAAAAAGCTCCCAACATATCCAGCCTCTCCTTACAACTGAAACCCTCCATTCCTGGCAGCATTCTTGTAAATCTCTTCTGAACCTTCTCCATCTTCATAATAGGGAGACCAGAACTAGACACAGTGCTCCAGAAGGGGCCTTACCAAGGTCCTGTACAACCTCAACATGATGTCCCAACACTCTATAATCAAAGGTCTGAGCAATGAAGGCAAGCATGCTAAATGCCTTCTTAACCACCCTGTCTACATGTGATTCAAAATTCAAAGAATTATGTACCTAAACCCCTTGGCCTCTTTGTTCTACAACACTACCCAAGGCCCTACTTTTAATTGTATAAGTCCTGCCTTTGTTTGTTTTACCAAAATGCAATACCTTGCATTTATTCAAATTAAATTCCATCTGGAACTCTTCAGCCCTTTGATACAATTGAACAAGATCTCTTTGTAATGTCCACTATTCCACCAATTTTGGTGTCATCTGCAAACTTACTAACCATGCCTTCTATATTCTCATCTAAATCATTTATATGAATGAGAAACAAAAGTGGACCCAGCACTGATCTTAGTTAACTAGTGCCTCCTTTATTTAGAATCACAAATCTATGTTCTCCCACTGATAACTTGCCACGTCCTAGACACAGTATAGACAAAAGAAGGGTTGGTGGGAGCGAATAACCAGAGTAAACTTTGTCCTTTGCCACATAATGGCAGTTACCATGAGGTTCCAGCAGTGGTAACTGGCAAACAACACCTCATCCCCCACCCCAACCACCACTGTCTCTCTGCCAGTACGTTTTCCCGTTGTTTATTTCTTCTGCTTCACATTAGAATGGCTGTTAACCATCCATTCACACCTCATCTGGACCTTATCATTGCTTCCTCACTTTGCCCATACCACACACCCATTTGGCTTTTCAACCATGAAACCTTTTGTGCTTTAATATCTCTGGCTTTCTGTGGCACAATACAAAAGAAATGTCATTTAGGGCCAAGATGAGAAGCTTTTTTGTTTGGACTCAGAGGGTTATGAATCTTTCGAATTCTCTGCCCCAGAGAAGCCCAGCCTTATTTTATTTCAAGTAGAAATTATAGACCCATGATACAGTTTTGATTTTCAATGATGTAAAGGCTCGGGGGGTTAATGTGGTTAAAAGCCATTGAAATTTTTGAGCAGCCACGATTGTATTAATGTTATGTTGAGGTTGTACAGGATGTTGGTGAGGCCTCTTCTGGAGTACTGTGTCCAGTTCTAGTCACCCTGTTATAGGAAGGATATTATTAAGCTGGAGAAGATTCAGAAGAGATTTACCAGGATGTTTGAGTTATGGGGAGAGGCTGGATAGACTGGGACATTTTTCACTGGAATGTGGCAGGTTAAGAGGTGACCTTATAGAGATTTATAAAATCATAAGGTGATTAGAAGGTGTCTTTTCCCTTGAGTTGGCGATTTCAAGACTAGGGGGCATAATTTTGAGATGAAAGGAGAAAGATATAAAAAGACAGGCGGGGCAATTTTTCTTTAAAACACAGAGAGTGGTTCATATGTGTAATGAACTTCCAGAGGAAGTGGTGGATGCAGGTACAGTTACAATGTTTAAAAGACATTCGGATAAGTACATGGGTAGGAAACATCTGGAGGGATATGGGCCAAGCGCAGGAAGGTGGGACTCGTTTAGTTTGGGAACAAGGTCAGCACAGACTGGTCTGTTTCTGTTCTTTATGGCTCTGTAACTCAAAATGCCAAAGCAAGCTTGGGCTGAATGGCCTGTGCTTGTTCCTAAGTTCTGTCCACTCTATCACAGAAGTGTTCTTATTCCTGCCACATAACCCCCACCCCTTATAACCACTAGAAACTAACTACATTTCTAACTATTCTCCATTCTGATGCTAATGTCACAGACCTGAAATGTTATACGCATAAAATTACTGCAGATATTTGAAATATGAAACAGTAACAAAAGAAAATACTCAGTGGGTCAGGAAGCATCTGCAGAGAGAGAAAAACAGGATTAAAGTTCTAGGATAACAAGGTGTAGATCTGGATGAACACAGCAGGCTGAGCAGCATCAGAGGAGCAGGAAGGCTGATGTTTCGGGCCTGGACCCTTCTTCAGAAATGGGGGAGGGGAAGGGGGTTCTGAAATAAATAGGGAGAGAGGGGGAGGCAGATAGAAGATGGATAGAGGAGAAGATAGGTGGAGAGGTGCAGTGGGAGAGAGATCCACTGAGGTTTTTCCGGAGGGAGGAGGGTAACTTCTTCAGGGTAGGCATCCTTAGAAGAGGCTTCGCAGTGGGATTAAAATTGTTTCAGAGATAGTAGGAACTGCAGATGCTGGAGAATCTGAGATAACAAGGTGTAGAGCTGGATGAACACAGCAGGCCGAGCAGCATCACAGGAGCAGGAAGGCTGACGTTTCGGGCCTAGACCCTTCTTCAGAAATTTCTGGGTGACCTTTCATCAGAGCTGAAAAAGATAGGAATTGAGTATTGCTGAAAAAAAATGCATACTTTTCTAAGCTTTCTGTCCTGTACTTCTCAGGAATGTGCCCAATTAGAGTCAACCTGCTGGTTTAAGATGTAAACAAAATCTGACAGTTAACTGTTAATCATCATTAACTGGTGCATTCTCTCCTTTTGTACACATAAATGCTGTTTTCCTTTTGCTTTTGGATTCCTTGTAAATTGCCCTAATGATCGTAAGATGAAATGTTCGACTAAGTGAGTTGAGCAATTCTCACGTGCTGCACTTCCAATCAAAAGATAAGAATATTTTACATTTTATGGGGAGGAGTGGGCTAGAGGACATGCAAAATTAAACAATAGGATTTTTGATGTGATCTTGCAATAAACAATTTGCCCTGTCAGAGTTCGCTGTGAAAATGAAAACTTTATATAATCCTGCACAAGTAAGAGATGCCTTGGGTTTGTTCGTTGGATAGAACCAAACTCCAATGTTTGTTTATTTTCTTCACATGCTACTGTAACAGAACGAAACTGCTTTAGTGACAATGTATTGTGATGTTACTGTGGTTTTTAAGAGGTTATTTTATCATTTTTTTTTCAAGGAGTTTGTAAAGCAGAGGTACAGAGTTGTCTCTAAGAAAGTAAACACCTTGTGATACCTTGAGTTGTTTTTTAGTTTTAAGGTTTAGCCTAAAGCAGATGCTACTGGGATCTCAAAAGAGTTTAGTGAATGTTTAGTGAATATCTCTTGGCTGCTATTGTCTCTGAATTTTCCCTTGATGTTTTTTCCTCTTGGATTGGAGAACTGCATGTGAGAATCTGTACTGAATTTTCCTTTTTGCCAAGAGGTGTATTTATGGGATGTTACTGCATTTGAACAGTTAATTAGTAATAGTTCCTGTATCTATTATTGGGTTAAGTTCTCCAATAGTAAAGTTATTCTAAATTCCTCTTTCTTTTGTTTGTATTTTAATTATAGTCTTTAAATAAATAGTGTTGTGCTTAACGTCAAGTAGTTTGACCAGTCATAATAAGGTCTAGGCTACCTTATACAGTCATACAGCACAGAAACAGACTCTTCATCCAATGGGTCTATACTGAACATAATCCCAAATTAAACAAGTCCCATCTGTCTGCTCCTGGCCCATATCCCTCCAAACATTTCCTATTCATTTACTTATCCAAATGTCTTTTAAATGTCGTAACTGTACCCACATCCTCCACTTGCTCAGGAAGTTCCCTCCACACACAAACCACCCTCTGTGTAAAAAAAAATTGCCCCTTGTTTCTTTTTTTTTTAAAATCTCTCTCCTTTCACCTTAAAAAAGTGCCCCCTTGATATCTTGATATCTCCCATCCTAGGGAAAAGACAACTGCCATTAACTATATTAACTCTATCTATATCTCTCATTATTTTATAAACTTCTATTAGGTCACCTCTCAACCTTCTTAAAATATTTTGAGGGGGTCAGGTCTGGTCCATAACAGTACGTATACATAGTTTTTGTTTAAATGAATAAAGTATATTGTTGAAATTTTTAAAAAAAAGCTTAAACTTTAAGAATTTACAGCTGGGATTTTTCCGAAATTCCTGCAGATAGTTGCTGAGCCTCCCTGGGTACTTTTGTGGATTGATTTCAGCTTTCCAGCATACTTTCGCTCTCTAGTGATTTAGAGAGTCATAGAGTCCTACAACAGGGAGACAGGCCCTTCAACCCAAACTGGTCCACGCTGACCAAAACATCTATCCACGCTAACCCCAATTCCCTGCAAATGGCCCATATCCTTCTAAACCTTTCCTATCTATGTATTTGTCCAAATGCCTTTTAAATGTTGTTAATGTACTCGACTCAACCACTTCTGCTGGCAACTCATTCCATATGCATAACGCCCTCTGTGTAAAAAAAAACGTTGCCCCTCAGGTTCCCATGTATTCTTTCCCCTCTTAACTTAAACTGATGCCCTTTAGTCCTCGATTCCCCAACGCTGGGAAAAAGACTGAGTGCATTCACCCTATCCGTGCTTCTCATGATCTTATAGAAGTGTGTAAGATCCACCCCCCTCACCCCTCAGTCTCCCATGTTCTAAAGAAAAAAGTCCTAGCTTGTCCAACCTCTTCCTATAACTCAGTCCCTTAGGTCTTGGCAACATCCTTGTAAATTTCTTCTGCACTCTTTCCAGTCTAATAACACCCCTCCTATAGCAAAGTGGCCAAACTTTAACATAATACTCCAAGTGTGGCCTCACCAACATCCTGTATAGCTGCAACATAACTTCCCAACATCTATACTCAATGCCCTGACTGATGAAGGCCAATGTACCAAAAGCCTTTGTCACTGCCCTGTCTGCCTGTGACTCCACTTTCAGAGAACTGTGCACCTAAACTCCAAGGTCCCTCTGTTCCACTACACTCCTTAAGGCCCCACCGTTCACCATGAAACTCCGACCCTGATTTGACTTTCCAAAATCCAACACCTCACACTTATCTATATTAAACTCTATTTGTCATTTCCTGGCCCACTTCCCCAGCTGATCAAGATCGTGCTGCAATTTCTGATAATTTTCCTCACTGTCCATGATACTGCCTATTTTAGTGTCATCTGAAAACTTACTAATCATGCCTTGTATATTCTCATCCAAATCACTGGTATAGATAGTAAACAGCAATGGGCCCAGCACTGACCCCTCAGGCATACCACTAGTCACAGGCCTCAAGTCCAACAAGCATCCTTCCATTATTACTCTCTATCCTATCAACAAGCCAATTGTGTATCCAAGTTGTCAGCTCTCCCTGGATTCCATGTGATCCAACCTTCCAGAACAGCCTACCATGTGGAACCTTACCAAAGACCTTACTGAAATCCATAGACATCTACTGCCCTGTCCTCAACAACCTTCCTGGTCACTTCATTAAAGAGTTCTAACAAATTTGTGAGGCATAATCACCCACGCATGAAGCCATGCTGACTGCTCCTAATCAAACCCTATCTTTCTAAATGCATGTAGATCTTATCGCTCAGAATCTTCTCAAGTAACTTACCTACCAGAGATGTTAAGCTTACTGGTCTATAGTTCTCAGGTTTTTCTTTGCAGCCCTTCTTGAATAAGGACACAACATTCGCTACCCTCCAGTCTTCCAGGGCCTCACCCGTGGCTAATGATGATGCAAGTGTATCAGCCAGGGCCCTCACAATTTCTTCCCCAGCCTCTTGCAGCGTTCTTGGATATATGTGGTCAGGACCAGGAGATTTATCCACTTTCATACATTCTGATACTTCCAACATTTTCTGTATTGTGGTATGGACTGTCCTCAAGATATCGCCACTAACTTCCCCAAGTCTTCATGTCTTTCTCCACGGTGAACACAGGAGAAATAATCATTAAAGACCTCACCGATCTCCTGTGGCTCCACACATATATGTCCATTTTGGTCCTTGAGCAGTCCTTTTCTCTCTGTAGTTATTCTTTTTCCTTTAATATACTTAAAGAATCTCTTTGGATTCACCTGAATCTTTGCAGCCAAAGTGCTCTCGTGCCCCCTTTTCGCCCTCCTGGTTTCCTTCTTCAGTGAACTTTTATATCTCTTTTATACCTCCAGGGATTCTCTTGATCCCAGCTGCCTGTACTTGAGCCATGCCACCTTCTTTTTTTTCTGGTCAAAGCCTCTATCTTTCTTGTCATCCAGGGTTCCCTACTCCTGCCAACCTTGCCCTTCACCCTCACAGGAACATATGGTCCTTGAACTGTAGCTATCACACTTTTAAAGGCCTCCCACTTGCCGGAGGTCCCTTTGCCTGCAAACAAACTATTCCAATCAACCCCTGCAAGCTCCTGTCTAATTCCACAAAATTCGCCTTGCCTCAATGTAGAACTTGACCCTGTGGACCAGTTTTGTCCTTCTCCATAACTATTTTCAAATTAATAGAACTATGGTCACTGGTACCAAAGTGCTCCCCCCACTGTCACCTCAGTCATTGTCCTGCCCTATTTCCCAAGAGTAGGTTGAGTTTTGCCCCTTCCCGAGTAGGACCCTCCATATACTGCTTGAGGAAACTTTCTCGAACACACTTCACAAACTCCCATCTAAGCCCTTAACACTATGGCAGTCTCGGTCTATGTTAGGAAAATTAAAATCCCCCACTATAACAACCCTATTGCTCCTGCAAGTCTCCCCAGTCTCCTGCATATTTGTTCCTCTAGTTCCTGTTGACTATTTGGGGGCCTATAGTACAATCCCAATAATGTCAAGATCCCCTTCTTATTTCTTAGCACCACCCACAAGCCTCACTGGATGGTCCCTCAGTAATTTCATCTCTGACTTCTGCTGTGACATGCTCCTTAATCAAAAATGCAACTCCCCCTCCCTCTTTCCTCCACCTCTGTCCCACCTAAAGCACGTGTACCCTGGCACATTAAGCTGCCAGTCCTGTCTCTCCCTGTTTCTGTAATGGCTACAATATCCCAGTCCCATGTACCTATCCACCACCCTGAGTTCATTAGCCTTCCCTGTCAGCCCTCTTGCATTGAAACTGATGCAATTTAATCCAACAGGCATTCCTCGCTCCCTGTCCTGTTCCAGCCTGACCTGTCTCTTCAGCTTGCTATTTCTGATTACTGTATCTCCTTCCAGCCTCGGCACTTGCCTCTTTGCTGTTTAGGATCCCACATCCCCTGCCAATCCAATTTAAGCCCTCCCCTGTAGCCCGAGCAAATCTGCCCACCAGCATATTGGTCCCCCTCCAGTTCAGATGCAACCCGTCCCTCTTGAACAGGTCGCTCTGCTCGAGAAAAGATCCCAATGATCCGGGAAACTGAATCCCTGCCCCTGCACCAATTCTTTAGCCATGCATTCATCTGCCATATGCTCCTGTTCTTAACCTCACTGGCATGTGGCACTGGAAGTAAACTGGAGATTACCACTGTGAAGGTCCTGGTTTTTAACGTTTTTCCTCACTACTCCACAGGACCTCATCCCTACTTCTACCTATGTCATCTGTGCCAATGTGAACAATGACTTCTGGCTGCTCACCCTCCCCTTTGAGAAAGGATTATGGACACAGAGGGTGGCAGGGTGGCAGGGTGGCGGGGTGGGGGGGGTGGCAGTAGAGTTAGTTTTGAGATTGATACAGGAGTGTGGAGAGAGAGAGTGTGGTGAGTGGAGTTAGTTTGGGTCTAATGCAGGGCTGTCGGGGGCTGGGGGGCAGTGGAATTGGTTTTGAGATTGACATCGAGTTGTGTATGGAGCGGGCGTGTCTGTATCCACCCCCGCTTGGTAAAGTACAAGTTTGTTTTCACCTTGTAAATAGGTTGAGCCTCGCTCAGCAGCATGAAGCGGTGGTGCCTGTGTTTCCCGGAGTCCCTGCACAGCAAGCAGCAGAGCTGGCCATCGGTTTCACACAGCAGCTTCAGTGCCTCCTGCTGGTGGTCCGGGCACCAAACGGTATCCGCCTGCTCCCCCCGGGGGGGCTCAGGCTGCAGCTGTAGCTCCCTCACTTTCCGGGAGAGACTGGCCAGCGACAGGCTGCTCCGCAGCTTCCTGCACGGGGAGACGGCTCGACACTGCGGGCAGCCCCAGTCACCGCCCTCCTGCCCGGCCCAGCTCCTGGTGATGCACGGCCGGCAGAAGTCGTGGCCGCATTCCAGCACCACCGGCTCGTTCAACAGCTCCAGGCAAATGCAGCATTTCAGCTCCTCGGCCAGGTACTCCAGCTGTCTCCTGGTCGCCATCCAGCTGCCTCCCCCCAGGTTTGGAAGGTCAGGTCCAGTCCTCTGCAAACAGAAACTGTCAAAATAAAAACACCCTCTTCCTGCGAACTTCCTGAACTGTCATTGCGATTGCGCAGGAGTTAAAGCCTCCAGTTACATATCCGCCCAATCTGCACAGAACTCGGCGTCAGACCCAAAACCAACTCCACTGCCCCTTCTCTCTCTCTCTACAGTCCTATATCAATCGCAAATCTCTCTCCAGACTCCTGTATAACTTCACAGTCCCCACATTCTCTCTCTCCGTAATGCTTTATCAATCTAAATCTAATTCCACAGCCCTACCCCATTAGTAATCCTGAACTCACCTGCCTGCTCTCTCCCTGGCACTGTCTTTCTCTCTCTCCATAGCCTTTTATCAATCCTAAATTAACTCTACAGCCTCTCTCTCTCCATAATCCTTTATCAATCTGATAGTAATTCCTGTCCCCTTTATTCCATAATCCTGTATCAATCCAAAACCTAAGCCCCTGCCCCCTCTCTCCATAACCCAGAGTATCACCACTGTCCCTCTCTTGCTACATCACCCTTTATCAGTCCTAAACTAACCCCACAGCCAGACTGTCTTCCCTAGGCCTGTATCAATGGTAACCCAATCCCAAATTTACCTCATTTTCATTCTCTCTCCGCAGACCTGTCTCAATCCCAAACCAATCCCACTGCCCCTCTCCTTCCATAACCCTGTCCCAATCTCAAACTGATTTACTTCATCAGTGAGTTTGCAGATGATGTGAACATTGGTGGAGTGATAAAAGTTAGCCTTAGATTACCAGCGGATATAACAGGCTGATCAGTGGCAAATGGAATTCAATCTGGATGAGTGTGAGGTAATGCACTTGGGTAGAACAAATAAAGGAAGGGAATACATGATGAATGGTAGGACTCTGGGAAACATTGAGCATCAGAGGTACACCAGTCCCTTATGGCATCAGGACAGGTGGATAATGCAGTGAGGAAGGCATTTATTAAATGAGGCATAGAGTTTAAGAGCAGGGAGGTTATGCTGGAACCATGTAAAATGTTGGTTAGGCCACACGTGGAGTATTGTGTGCAGTTCTGGGATCCACGTTATAGAAGGGATGTGATTACACTGGAGAGGGTGCAGAGGAGAGTGACCAGGATGTTGCCTGGGCTGGAGATTTTCAGTTACAATGAGAGATTGGACAGACTGGGGTTGTTTTCCTTAGAGCAGGGGAGATTAAGAGGGACATGATTGAGATGTAATAGAATGATGAGGGTCATAGATTGGGTTGACAGGAAATGTTTCCCCTTGATAGAGGGATCATTGATCAAGGGAATTTAAAGTAATGGGGAAGGAGGTTTGGAGGAGATGTGAGGAAAAACATTTTCACCCAGAGGGTGGAGATAGTAGGAACTGCTGATGCTGGAGAATCTGAGATAACAAGGTATAGAGCTGGATGAACACAGCAGGCCAAGCAGCATCAGAGGAGCAGGAAAGCTGACGTTTCAGGTCTGGACCCTTCTTCAGAAACTTACATCTTGTTATCTCTTCACCTAGAGGGTGGTGGGAATCTGAAACTCACTGCCTGTAAGGGCGGGAGAGGCAGAAACTCTCATAACATTGAAGAAATATTTAGATGTGCACTTGCGATGCCAAGACATACAAGTCTATGGGCTGAGCTAGAGAATGTGATTAGAAAAATTAAGTGGTTGTTTTTGACTGCCTCCGATTTGATGGACCAAAGGGTCTGTTCCTGTGCTGTAGACTTCTCTCTATATGACCCAGGTACTAATCTCAAACTAATTCCATTGCCCCTCTCTCCACAGCCCTGAATTAGATCCAAACTAACTCCACTGCCTACTGTCCCACCAGATGTCTGTATTTATCCCCTCTCATTTCACAGCCCTGTCTTAGACCTAAACTAACTTTACTGTCCACAATCTCTGCAGACTCCTGTATCAACCCCACTATCCCTCTCTCCCCACAGCTGTGTATCAATCTTCACAGAATCAGAACATTTTGTAAGTGCCTTAACCAAATTATACTTATCAAGCAGCCCTACTGGAATTTGAACGCTGTCACTGAACTAGATTTTAGTCCAGTAAGATTGTCAATCAAATCCTTTATATATCCTGATCTCTATGCACCACCTCACGCTGCTGCTGGAATGTGCCTTTGCAAAGGAAGTCTGGAGAAAGATGCGATGGTTTTTACCAAGGTTCGTCCCGAGTAGCACCACGACACAGGACTCTGTGCTCTACAGTTCTGTTCCCTGGGATGCACACTGAGACAAACACCAACTGCACCTGGAGGACCATCGACTCACTGAGGGACCCTCTTTGTTCTGCCTGAACCTTGTTGATCTTCCAGAGCAAAGAGCTGACTTCAACCAACTGCTAGAGGAAAGATGTTGTGAAACTTCAAAGGGTTCAGAAAAGATTTACAAAGATGTTGCCAGGGTTGGAAGGTTTGAGCTGTAGGGAGAAGCTGACTAAGTTGGGGCTATTTTCCCTGGAGCATTGTGGGATGAAGAGTGGTCTTTTTGAAGTTATAAAATCATGAGGAGCATGGATATGGGGAATAGTCAAGGTCTTTTCCTCAGGTTAGGGGGGTCCAAAACGAGAGAGCATAGGTTTAAGTGAGAGGGGAAAGATTTAAAAGGGACCTAAGGGACCACTTTTTCACACAGAAGTGGTGCGTGTATGGAACGAGCTGCCAGAGGATGTGGTGGAGGCTGGTACAATTACAACATTAAGGTTTTGGAGTAGATCTGTAGCTCGGGTTGTGGGTGTTGAGGTTGGTTGTCTCACTGAGCTGGTTTGTTGTTCCGCAGACGTTTCGTTACCGTGCTTAGTAACATCCTCAGTGCAACCTCTGATGAAGCGTCAGTGTGTTTTCCCGCCTGGTTTTTAAACTCTGGGGTCCGTTGCGATGGATTGCCTCACTTCCGGGTTTCCTCCGTAGTGGTATACGGGGTCGAGTTCAATGTGTTTATTAATAGCATGCTTCGTGGAGTGCCATGCTTCCAGGAATTCTCGTACTTGTCTCTGCCTAGCCTGTGCCAGGATCTTGGTGTTGTCCCAATTGAAGTCATGGTTCTCCTTGTCCATGTGGATTGAGATGTGGATTGACACGACCAATACTCACTCATCTCAATCCACATGGACAAGGAGAACAGCTCGGCGAGCCAACCAACCTCAATTACAACATTTAAAAGGCATCTGGATGGGTTTATGAATAGGAAGTGTTTGGAGGGATATGGGCCAAATGCTGGCAAATGGAACTAGTTTAATTTAGGATATCTGTTTGGCATGGACAAGTTGGACCGAAAGGTCTGCTTCCGTGCTGAACATCTCTATGACTCTATAAGTGTTGCAGACTGGCACGTTCCAAGGTCCAGGTCTATGTGCTGAAGGATGCACTAAAGGTCAGGGCAGCTTAGACCAAGATGCAGTGGAGAAAGATCACCGCCTGAGGTCTTTCTGCCAAAGTCTGCACCCTCTTAAGGAACAGTAGTAGTGTCCCTACCTCTGAGCCAGGAGATCTGGGTTCAAGTTTCACCTGTAATAACACCCCTGAACAGATTGGTTAGAAAATAGTTTATAACGAGCATCTGTTATGTTTCGAGATAATCTGGTAGCCTTAATGGGAAAGTAAATAGTTTCCTTTCATAGCCACAAAATATATTTTTGTTGCAAATAGATTGAAGCTGTCATGCGGAATGTAGAATTAAAATTCGACTGTATTTTCTGCAAAGTCTGTACTGAACTGTTTTGTACTTCTATTTACTTTTTTTGGTTATTTACTAATCAAGTATCTGTTCGAAATTGGTACAAGAAAAATTACAGGAAAGAAACACGCCCTGATTCAAAGTTCCACTTTACTTGAAGGATTGTAACCCTTTTGTCTCCCTCTCTCGACCGTGTGAAATTTTATCACAGCGGAACATATTGGGCCTGCTGCCCCAGAGCGAAACGCCATTTTCGTGCCTCGCATCCCACCCTCCCCAAAAATAGAGAAACCAGCCTCACCACAGCGATAGGAAAACATGTTTCAGCCATATTCGCCGGGAGTGTTGTTGAGACGGGGCTATCTGTAAAGGATCATGCTCGGGTAAGTTTCACCTCGGCCGGAATTCCTCACTGAAATTGACCAATGAAACGGATATAATGTGTTGCTGGCCACACTGTGAACTGGGATAACATCTCAGTTATCCCATTATCCCAGTAGTAGCACAGGGATTGTGTTCCCTTTTACTGGGTGCTGGATCTTACCCAGAAATCGTGAATGTTACAATCGGGGAGACTTTTAAACTGAGAGACAAATATTTCTGACTCTTCCGGAACTTTACGACCTGATCTCTCTCCCTCTCTCTAACCAAACCCCCAGTTTTGTGTTGGAGGAGTTAGCCATAATTATGAAGTTTTTTTTTTACATTTGTGTTTCAGAGCGGATTTTATGCTATATTTCATATCATCCGTGGAATTAAATCCCAGCCCAAGCGCTCCGTTCAAGAGTTTGAAATTTACTTTCGTCTTCAGCTTCAGAAGGCCTCATTCCTGACTGTTTCCTCGAGACTCGATTCCCAGGCACTGCCCTCTGATTCCTTCCACTCTACCCTCTGTAAACTGAAATCGACCCAAAACCGTGACCCCACTCCCCCTCCTCCCCGTGCTGGCTCAGATATACAGACTCCTGTTTGAACAAAGCCTCCATTATAAAATAAAATCCCATCTCTGTCTTCACATCCTGCTGAGGCCTTGCCTCCTTTCAGTGTGTGCTGTAAATCAGCTTCTCCCTTCCCTTCACCAGTAGTAGTCAAGCAGCCTTCAGTTGCCAGGACCCTATGATTTGGTGAAGGCTTTCTCCCCCTTTCCTTTTTAACAGGCTTCTTAGAACTGCCCATCCTTTAGGTCATCTGCCCCAATTTTGTCTGGTGGTGCACCCATATCATAGGATCCCCATTTGGGGGCTAATAAGCCCACACCAATCCTCAGAACATCCCACCCAGACCCATCCCCCTATAACCCACCTAAACTACACATCCCTGAACACTACAGGCAATTTCCCATGGCCAATCCACCTAGCCTGCTCATCTTTGGACTGAGGGAGGAAACCGGATCACCCAGAGGGGACCCAGATAGACACACAGAGAATGTGCAAACTCCACACAGACAGTCACCCAAGGGTGGAATCGAATCTGTGTACCTGGCGCTCTGAGTCAGCAGTGCTAACCACTGAGCCACCATGATGAAGTGCCTTAATGGCTTAGTAACTTAAATAGTTTTTTACAAATACAATATATTTCCTGGAGTACTGAGGAAGGGGTCACTGGATCCGAAAGGTTAACTCTGATTTCTCTCCAACAACAGATGCTGCCAGACTTGCTGAGCTTTTCCAGCAGTTTCTGTTTTTGTTTCTGATTTCCAGCGTCTGTAGTTCTTTTGGTTTTTATTTTATGGAGTACTGAGTACAGTTTTGGTCTCCTTACTTGAGAAAGGATGTACTGGTGCTGGAGGGGGTGCAGATGAGATTCACTCGGTTGATTCCAGAGTTGAGAGGGTTGGATTATGAGGAGAGATTGAGTAAACTGGGACTATACTCATTGGAATTTAGAAGAATGAGGGGGGATCTTATAGAAACATATAAAATAATGAAAAGAATGTATAAGAAAGAAGCAGGAAGGTTGTTTCCACTATTGGGTGAATCTGAAACTAGGGGTCATAGCCTCAAAATAAGGGGGAGCGGATTTAGGACTGAGTTGAGGAGGAACTTCTTCATCCAAAGGGTTGTGAATCTGTGGAATTCCCTGCCCAGTGAAGCAGCTGAGGCTTCGTCATTGAATGTTTTTAAGGCAGAGATAGATTTTTGAACAGTAAGGGAATTAAGGGTTATAGTGAGTGGCTGGGTAAGTGGAGTTGAGTCCACAAAAAGATCAGCCATGGTCTTATTGAATGGTGGAGCAGCCTTGAGGGGCCAGATGGCCTACTTTTGCTCATATTATTTATGTTCTTATTGTTGATATTTAGAGCATAAAGTGGTGGGAATCTGGAATTCACTGCATTGAGGATGGTAGAGGCAGAAACCCTCATAACATTGAAGTTGTATTTAAATGTGCACTTGTGATGCCAGTGCATACAAGGCTATGGACCAAGTGCATGGGATGAGAATAGTCAGGTGGTTGTTTTTGACTGGCACAGACTTGATGGATGGAAGGGTCTTTTTCTGTGCAGAGACCTTTTTGAAAGCACAGAGACAGGCTATTCTACCCAAGTGACCGATGCAGCTGACCACACACAGTGTGTCCAAACATCCTGGATTTTCCCGAATTTTCCCTCCTGTCTTCTGTTCTGGGTGTGAGCTTCCTGGCTCACTATTTGTCCTGGCACTCCCTCGGCACCGACCCTCTGACAGTGCGGCGCTCCCTCAGCACTGACCCTCCGACAGCACACCTGCATCACCTCATCCAAAGCTTCTGGAACATTAAGTTGTTCAATTGTGTGATTTTGCTACAATTTAGAAATTATTTGCCCCGGTGATAGATCACACAGTAATTGAAAGCTTTTAATTTGCTCTTTGGTGAATTCATCTGAAATCAGTGCTGTGTTTTTGAATTAATATCGCTGTGGATATGGGAGACACCTGGGGCAGGTGGGACTTGAACTCAGAGGTGGGGACTCCACCACAAGAGCCTTACTCAATATTACAAAACAGTGGCAACTCGAGTCTGAAATATTTCTTACAGCTTTGAATGAAATGCTACTGTCAATGTTTTCACAACTGGTTTTGCTGTCCATCCTGTGAAAGATGTCATGGAGATCTTTAATTCCTCTTCTTCTCATCCTGCGATCTTCAGTCAATGGTAAGTGGCAAAATATCTAACTGCGGCATCATAGATTGGTGGAGTGTGGACAAAGTCACTAGTCATTGCAAGTGTGTGCAGGGTCTTTCCTGTTGAATAATTTACCCAATTATCCCTAACCCCAGCCCCTTGCTATTTTCCTGCAGCCTTGAATTTCATTTTTTTCCTTTCCAAATGTTTATCTCATTGCCTTTTGCGAGGTAGTGCAACATCTGCTCTCACTATGGCTCGAGGGAGCACGTTCCAGATCTCACAACTTAATCGTTTGTCTTTTTTTCACTTTGTCATCTCTGGTTATTTTATCAAATCGGCTAGACCATTAAAAGCCCTCCCTGACCTTTGCCCTTCCTGCACTTCCCCTTTCGGGGAGACCCATGGGTTTTGTGTCACTCAAACATTGACCGACTGGGCCTCCTCTTGGATGCTCTGTGCTCAGTGGCGACACTGCTGAGGAAGTGGATGTTGCCAGTACTGCGGCCACCCAACGCCTCTGATGCAGGAAGGTGTCTCCCTGAGCTTGGGAAGTGGCATCATGGGAGTGGCAGGAGAATGGGGCCGGATGGGGTGCAGTCGGGGATTATCGGCAACAACAGCAGAGAATGGATATCGGCAGCCACAAAGTCTGGGTTCAAATCCCGCCATGGAAGCTGGGGATTTGAATTCAACAATAAATCTGGATTTAAGTATCTAACGATGACCATTGTTGATTGTCAGGGGTGGGGTGAGGGTTAAAAATCTCATCTGGTTCACGAATGTCCTTTTCGGGGAAGGCAATCCGCCGTCCTTCCCCGGTCTGGCCTACACGTGACTCCAGACCCACGGCAACGTGGCTGACTCTCAGCTGCCCTCTGGGGTGATCAATAAAGGTGGCCTACGTCCCGTGAATGAATTAAACCGCTCCTCCTGATGCCAATCATGGATTTTGGATGAAGGACCCCCAGCTTCCTTGGAAACCTAGGAGCAGACATGCCAGTGTTTTGCTTGTTGTGATGCTCCCACCAGGGAAGTGCCCCCCTACCCGCTGTTGGGTTTCCTGACAACAGCAGTGCGCTGGGTCCCTTGAGTGGGCATTGATCATCATGACTGGCCAATGAGATCAGGAGGGCACCAGATTCCATCCAATGCTGTGCCATCTCTTAACATCCACCCGAGTGAACAGGTCAAGGCACCTCCCTCTGAAAGGCCACTCTATCCACAGCGCTGTCTGTTTCCCAGCCTTCTGATTCCCAAACCCAAGAAAGGTGCCAACTGAATGGCAGCTGGCACTGATCCTCCCTCTGGAACGGGAGGGTCATTGTTTTTATATTACAGTCATACGGCGCGGAAACAGACCCTTCGGCCCAACCCATCCATATCGACCAGACTTCTGAAACTGAACTGGTCCCATTTGCTTGTTTTTTTGGCCCATATCCCTCTAAACCTTTCCTATCCATGTACCTGTCCAAACGGCTTTTCAATGTTGGAATTGTACCAGACCCTGCCACCTCATATGGCAGCTCATTCCATACACACACCGCCCTGTGTGTGGAAAAAGTTTCCCCTCAGCTCTCTTTTAAATCTTTCCCCTCTCACCTTAAACCCATGCCTTCTGGTTTTGGACTCCCCTACTGTGGGGAAAAGATCTTGGTTATTCACCTTATCCATGGCCTTCATAATTTTATAAAATCTATATAAGGTGACCCCTCAGCCTCCGATGCTCCAGGGAAAATAGCCACAGCACCTCCTTTTAACTCAAACCTTCCAGCCTTGTGAATCCTTTTTCCAGTTTAATAACATTCTTCTGGAAAAAAAAACACATAAATGCCCTTGATCGTTTCTAGGGAAGTTTATAGTTATAACTTCAAAAGAGCCGGTCGTTGTCACAGTCGGCCAGGATGTTGTTCTGGAATGTCAGCTGATCCCAGCAGAAGCTCCTGAGGAAATGGAAGTGCGGTGGTTCCGAAAAGACTGGAACAGCGTTGTCCATATGTACCGGAAGGGAAAGGACGAGCCCAAGTTACAAATGAAGGATTATTCTGGGAGAACAGCACTGTTCCACGAGCACTTTGCCAATGGCAATATCTCCCTCCTGTTGAAGAACATTTCTGTGAAAGACAATGGCACCTTCAGATGTTTTGTCATCTCCAAAGCTGAGGACGCCGAGGGATCGGTTGAACTGAAAGTTGGAAGTGAGTGATGTTTTCTGTTTGTGACATAGAGGCTGGGCCTTTATCTGTTTCCCTTCATTAGGAGAAGGTGGTGGGTGGAGAGAGGGCGATTCAACATGCTGGTTCTGTTATCCTGACCCAGTCATGTGCTCTGGGTTGCTGAGGGGACAAGGGCCCAGGTAACAAGCTCACACTTGGCTCTCCGGTCCTTGTCTCACCCACTGTGGGTTTTGACCGGAAAGATGAAAGGGTCTTGCATTCTCGGGCTAGCAGAACCATATGTTAAATCGATTCTCAGTTGGTTGATCCTGGGGGCTGTGTTTTTAAAAGGGAAAGTGACCATTAAATTGACAGATGTGTCTGAGAAATCTGCTGAATGTGATTTAAAGGGCTCGATGTTTTCAGCTCTGGAGCCTTTGTTGACACAGTTCTGCAGTGACATCCCATCATGAATATGTGGTTGAGAACCCACAAGTACATTTGACTCTGGAGTGGGTTCACACTGTGAAATGGAATTAAGCTTCATTCAGCTGGAAAACAGGAGCTGGCAGGAGAATTATATTCAGGAGGGTTTTTAAAAACCTCTTTACTTTGCTATGTTTTTATTTGAGAATTTCCAAGACCTTCCAGTGTTCTTTAAGGGCCCCTGGACTCTGCCCTTCATGAACAAGCCTGGTGGAGGAGTGGGGGAATACAGGGGGCACCCAGAGTTTTCGAAAATGAAAATCCGGGCCTTGGTGGTTTCTAGTTTTGTGTGGTCTCCGTTTCCAAACAATGTAACATTGTAAATGATGCAGATAACTACCTTCACAGGGAAGTGAGATCAGGCCCCCATTCACCCTGACCTTGGTGGGTGAGACATTGTTTGTTTTCATTACGCTGTGAACTGTAATTGAGTTTTCACACAAATCAAAGAGAACAGTAGGAATTTCCAGCTTGTTTCTCCCCGATTCCCCCCACCCCAAAACAGAAGGCCAGGGATCGTGGGCCTGATTTAATTTTTTCAAGGAGTACAATTCAAACATTTTATTTATGTTTAGAAATATTGCCAGAGTTGAGGTGCAGATTGACTTTGACTTTGATTTGAGAATGGTGGGAACAGGTTTGAGGGGAATAAGATTTTAAGCTTAGAAATGGTGGAAAAGCCAAGGGATTTGTAACCCAGGCTAATCTTCTGGGGATCTATGTTCGAATCCCACCATGGCTTCAGGTGGAATTTAAATTCCTATCAATAAATCAGAACATGAAACTAATCTTGGTGACTATTAGAATCATAGAATCCATACAGTGTGGAAGCATTTGGCCCGTCGAGTCCACACCGACCCTCTGAAGAGCATCCCACCCAGAGTCTCCTCATCCCTGTAACCTGCATTTCCCACGGCTAACCCGCACATCCCTGGACACTATAGCATGGCTAATCCGCCCTAGCCTGCATATCTTTGTGACTGTGGGAGGAAACTGGAGCAAACCCACACAGATACGGGGAGAATGTGCAAACTCCACACAGACAGTTGCCCGAGGATGGAATTGAACCCGGGTCGCTGGCGCTGTGGGGCAGCAGTGCTAACCACTGAGCCATCTGATTGTTGATTCGTTGTTGTAAAAACCCATTTGGTTCACTAACACCCATTGGGGGCAAAGCAAATTTGGCATCCTTGCCCGGCCTGTATTTGACTCCAGACGCACAGCAATGATGGCTGGCCCTTAAAAGCCTCCTGAGACAGCCTCGTGAATCACTCAGTCCAAGGGCAGTTGCGGATAGCCAGATTCCGCAGTTGTTGTTGTTGTTCACGGAACCTCCTCTAAAACAAACAAAATCTCATTTGAAATAATAGGTGTGGGCCTTCAACCTGTGATGAAGATGGCTGGCTACAAGGGCAATAGAATCAAACTTGCATGTGCATCCGACGACTGGTTTCCAGAACCGAGCATAGAATGGTGGAACAGCAAGGGAGACAAACTGCCTGGAGTCTCCAAGAAACCGGTAAAGGACGCCAGGGGACTCTTGAAAGCAGAGAGCAGTCTCACTGTGGGCGATAGTTCCGATAACGTGTATAAATGCACCATCACCAACACGCTGCTGAAGACAGAGCGAAAGAGCACCTTGCAGATATCAGGTCAGTAAATCCCATTGTCGGACTGTGTAGAGACAGTTCCAATGTTCACTTGGAGCTGCAATTTCAGGGTCGGCTGGGGCAGGAGGTGGGGGTGAGGGGGTGTGTGTGGTGGGGGGTGCGGGTGTTGGGGGTTGCGGGGGCACAGGATGTGATTCACGCTAAGGGGAATCCTAAACTCAGCTGGGCTACTCGAGATTTGTGTTGAAGATAAGCAGACCCCACTCTGGCTGTCCCTAGGGCCTTAAGATGCAGCGTCAGGAGGTCACAAAATGACAAAACCAGTGGAAATGCCCACGACAGAGGGCTAAAAATCTGCTTAAATGTCAAGATCGGAGTTTTATAAAATATTCAGCTCTCTAAGGATGAAGAGCACCATGGTGTAGGAAATGTAAAAAAAAACCCTGTCCTGGACTCCCATTGGCTGTGGGACAGGAAAGGAAATGACCATTTCTTCATGCATTTTCAGTAGAGGGTGTGATTAACATTTTTCCCAAGGACAGTTGTTGGCTGAGTTTCAAACTTGTGGCTACCTCAGGCGTAGGTTCTGTGTTCACGGTTTGATTGGCAGTTTTAAAAAGGCACTTAAAGCATTAGTCGTGTCTGAATACAAGTGTGATTTTTTATTGTAAGAAATTGACCACTCGAAAATTGAAAGTTTTGAATGGATTTCATGAATGAGATTTTTGTCACTGTCAATTGTAAGTATTAAATTAGATTGTCAGCAGTATTTTTTTCTTCATCTCCATGTGACCTTTCGGTTCCATCCGTAGTGGATGTGTGGCTGAGAGCTCAGGATGTTTGTTAGGGAGTGGGCTTGAGATGGTATTAAGTTGATGTGCAAACTAAATGGGGTGATGCTGAATGCAGTGATGGGTGAGGGAGTGCTGCAGGATTGTGAATTGCAAAGGCACAGATTTGGAGTCCCAGAGAACCAAGGCGGGCTTGCCTAGGATTTCTTACTGGGGTCTCCCCCAATGCCCCCCCAACTCACCAATGAGTAAAAATTACATGTTGTTGAACTTCCCACCTTGTGTTGCTGTTGATCGGGAAATTTTCCAACTGGAGTTGCTGGTCACGGTTGCAATACAACATTCCCTAAATGTCAATGACATTTTCATAAATTCAAGAACATCAGGACAATCATTTCCAAAATTCCCTACTACGAATTGGAAAGCCACAGATATCCTGCTGAATGTAGGCCCTTTAAAAGCTAGTATGCCTTTTAGATGTGACTGTTTCAGATCTGAATAAGAAATTGGTGAAAATGAAAATAGCCATTGGAAATGAAGGACAGCACAGAGTCAACACTTCAGATCTTTCTGAAGAAGATCCTGATAATCCATGGGAAACATTGGAGGCTCAGCTTTGTGTAAAAATGTAGTTAGAATACAACAGCGAGAGCACATACCTTACAGGCAACGGCCAAAACATTCAACGAACCCTTTCACAACAAGGGACGTGACAGTTGCAAGCAATGGGATTTTTCAGAAGGGTGTGATGTTTGATATGATAATGGATCCTTTATTGAAACATACAACATCCTTAAAGGCCTTGATAGGGTAGATGTACAGAGATTTCCCCTTGTGTGAGATGTAAGAGCAGACAGCATAATCACAGAGCAAGGGGTTGTCCAGTTAGGATGGGAATGAGGAGGAATTTCTTCAGAGGGTGATGAATCTGAGACATTCTTTACCACAGAGGGCTATGGGTCATTAAGCACATTCAAGGCTGAGAAAGATTTTTAATCAATAAGGCAGTTGAGGATTACGGGGAAGGAAAGGGTGGGAAAGTGGAGCTGAGGATGATCAGATCAGCCATGAATGGTCGTGCAGACTCGATGGGCTGAATGGCCTACTTCTGCTCCTGTGGCGTATGATATCGAGATTGCACATACAAGTTAAGAACAACCAAGTGTGAGGTCCAGAACTCCAGAATGTATTCCAGCATGTGACCTGAAAGGATTGTCAAACCATTAATGTGCAAGATAGACCCTTAGACTCATCAATATTCCAATTGCTTCTGTGTGAATGGTTTTGCACTTACCTGATGCATAGGTGTTCAGGGTCTTGTTGCGTGTAATTTTGTTTTGGAGTGTGGGGAGAAGGGGTTATTGTGTTACTGCTTTAGGAGCTGAGTAGACAAATGAGCCAAGGACCTGGATGACATCACATGACCAGCCAAGAGGTGTCCTAAGCAGCATCCTACCAGCAAGGCCATGACTATAAGTTATGCACATAAGTTGCTCTTGTCACTGCAAATGAGCAGTTTGTCTGTTCAGTCAAGCTCCATCTTGAAGAACAATGGCAGCAGATACATGGGGACACCACAAGTTCTCTTTCAAGGCACTCACCATCTTGACTCGGAAATATATCACCATTCCTTTAGTGTCGCTGGGTCAAAATCCTGGAATTCCCTCCCTCAGGGCATTGTGGGTCAACCTACAGCGGGGGGACTGTGATGGTTCAAGATGGCAGCTCACCACCACCTTCTGAAGAAGAACTAGGGACAGACAATAAATGCTGACCATTAATTGTTAAAGACGTTAATCATTCAGGAATGGTCCTTCCATATTTCACTCGGGCGCTGATCCATTTATAAATCCTATTGAGTAATGTTCCATTTCTTAACACACCCTCTTCCTCTGACCATCCATTGTCTTTCTGGCCATCCTGCACAGAAATAACTAAAACAGTGCACACTCGAAACTGATGTACAAGAGCCATGTCATTAGACTTGAGCACCGCACTCCCACCTTAGGAGTCCCAACATAGTCTACAATTTGCTCAAAATTTCTTCTGGTTTCAGAATTTAACAGGAAAGGTTCTTTCCTTGCAGACCATTAGATTACAACCAGAGATTTTGAATAGTGGATTGATGGAGGTGTTTATTCTGTTTGACTAGTAGTTTGGTTCCGTAAATGGAGAATTTATTTAGCAGCGAGAAGGAATTGGTTGTGACATATGATAAACGATACTTGGTGTCCTTTTCATTATTTTGTGGTGAGGAAAATTTCTACTTAATGTCACGGATTGTCTGGAACAATAAATATGGTTGGTATTGATTTCTTTTTGCACAAGAATTTATTTCTACAAGCGAGAGATGCTGGCATCGTGGTGATGTCATTGGTCTAGTAATCTGGAGCTCCTGCTGTGGGGACCATGGTAACTGGTGGAATTTAAATTCAGTGGATAATTCTAAGTTGGGAATTGGAGCCTGGGTCTTGGTGACCCTGAAGATGTCATTGATTTCCATTAGAAGCCCCATCTCGTTCACTAATACCCCTTTCGGGAAGGATATCTGCCATCCTTAGCTGGCCTGCATCAGGCTAAACAATGATAGCAATAACTACCCTCTGAAATGGCTGAGCAAGCCACTCAGGAGCAATTCAGGGGCAATTAGGGATGGGTGACAAATTCTGGCCTTGCTGGAAACGCGTACGATAGAATTCTTTTAAAAATTTGATGCGTGACAGATCCACTTGTTCTAAAGCGATTGCATAACATAATTCAGTTTTCCAAACCTCTTGGATGTTCTATGGTTCAGGTCCCTTCCTCATGGGATGAGGATATTGCTGGCTCCACCAACATTTATTGCCCATCTCTAATTGCCCACAGGGCTGTTATGAGTCAACAAAATTGCTGTTGGTCTGGGGTCACATGTAGGCCAGACCAGGTAAAGATGGCAGTTTCCTTCCCTAAAGGACATTAGTGATATCTTAATTCCAGATATTTTTTATTGAATTCAAATTCCACATTCTGCTGTGGCAGGATTTGAACCCAGGCCCCCAGAATGTTATCTGGGTATCTGGATTAACAGTCCAGCGATAATACCACTAGGCCATTGCCTCCCCTGTCTTGTCTACCTTTCACAGGAACAAATATGTGTGAATATTTCGTAGTGTATTTTTCCTTTTCCTGAAACACTGTTACTTAGCAAATTGCTGGCAATAGAGCAACAGTGTTACCTCTGAAATCTGTCTTGCAGGTGAATTCTTCCCTGTGGTCTCTGGCTGGCTGGTGGCTTTCTGGATAATCTTCGTTATCCTCCTGGGAGCAATTGGTGTTGTTTTATACTTCTATCGGAAACAACAGAGACAACGCAGTCTAATGAGAGGTACGGAGCAGTTACTCTTTGTTGGGCAAAACGTCTAGCCCAGAGACATCGCTTTTGTTTTTGTAAAACTGCTAAAGGGAGGGAATGGATGGCAGAAATGAGAATTTTTGCTTTGCTCTGACATTGTGTTTTAAGTGGCCCAACCCTTTTCTCACTGCCGTCCCCATGCTTGTCCTCCTGTAACTTTCCAGCAGGGGCCAGTGATAGGGACCAGCAACAACAGCTTTCGCTGCTGGTGTGGTACACACCCTCTCTCTGACATTCCCCCATCAAAAATCCATTTGTGTCATGTTACCGACTTAAAAGCAGTCTTTATTGGCGATTTATGGACCAGACCAGACACCCTCAAAACATTTTAAGGAGGTAGCCAGAGCCTAAATTTTACTTATTTTAAAAGGCAAATCTAAAGTGCTGCATTCCAGGTGCAATTCTTTGGTCAAACTACTCAATGTAAAGCAATACACAATTTGTTCAAACGCTCTCTTTAAAACACAACAAAGGAAGAAGGAACTTAACCCTATTGGAAACCTTAACAGAAAATAGATACAGTAACTATTACTAATTAACTGTTCCAATATAGTAACATCCCATAAACACACCCCTTGGCAAAATTCAGAAGATAGATTTGTCTCGTAAGTAACCTGGGCAAACCCAGAAGACACAATATCAAATCAAAACTCATGAGAGAGTAGCAGCTGGGAGACATTTACTGCAACTTCCAACCTCTGTTGAGATTCCAACAGCTACTGATACTGAATCTCAAAGCTAAAAAATGTAAAAGCTAGAAATCCTGGTTCTGTGAGAGCTGGCCACACCCATTCAGGTTGTTCTCACCTTTCTAAAAAAAACATGCAAGACGTTGCAAGCTATTTATGGGCCTTCACTAACCAGCTCGGCACTTTTGCCTTTAAACCTTCTTTTAAAAAAAAATATACGTCTTCACCCACAGCATTGTCACAAGATGTATTGTGGGTGACATTATGACTGAGTTGTTCTTGTCTCTGCTGTAATTGCTGACTTACGGAGTCAATCCCTCAATCAAATGAAAGCATTCATTAATTAAACCATCTGCAGCAGTGATTTAATAGTAAAATGTTTTACAGCTTACGTGATTGCTATCTAACTAAACTGTACGTGTCTTATTTTTCAGAGCTTATTATTCGACCTACCATCGGTGGTAAGTCCAGTACTTAACTGTTGAAACATATTCCATTCTTAAAAATGAAAAGAAACTTGAATAGCATTTCTTATTGATGGTCAGTAGCAAAACCTGGCCTTTTGCAATGTGTCTTTTTCAATAATGCAATAATAGCTCTTGATGTTTTAGAAATTCAAGCTTTGTAAGGTTTTACTGAACATGGATGTTGATGAATTAAACCTTCTTTTATGTTCTTTCATTGCAGAATATGAAACATTGAGTGCAAAGCTCAGTAAGTGATTACTAACCAAAGTACATAAAGCAGTTGTCTTAAAACTTATCTTTGGATTATTTTCCAGTCAGCATCTTAGAGAATGGGTGACTATGGTTCTTTATGCCGGTAAAGCATGGAACAAAGCTCATTTATTACTGCTTTCCTTACACATGTTTAAAGAGAAGGCAAGAACGTGCTTGGAACTCAACCCGTTTGCCTTAAAATAAACGAAAACAGCAGTGATACTGCTAGTGACTTTAGCTAATTGGAACTTGAACTGGAGTTGGAATTCTTGCAGTCCATCAAATTGGCACAGTCCTCTTGCCCTGGGAACTTTGAAGAGCTTTCAAGAGCTGCTAGACATGACTTTTTTTCAGTGAGATTCAAGGGGAGGGGGAGTGGTGGAGGAAATTGCAAATGCCAACCTCTGAGATGGCAAGATCAAAGATGCTCACACCTCCCCTGCCACCCCCAATCACAAAACCTCTGTAATAGGTGGCCTAATCGCTGGAATAGTGCTGCCTGAGCTAATGTTCTGGGGACACAGGTTCGAATCCCACCACCAACTGTATTTTTCAGCAACTCTTTCATATTAGGTCTGAAACTCTTGTTTAAAAATAGAAAGTTTTTGTTTAATCATTGACCCGTGGGATGTGGATATCACTGGGCTGGGCCAGCATTTATTACCCTTGACAAAGTGGTAGTAAGCTGCCTTCTTAAACCGCTGCAGCCCACGTGCTATAGTTTGGCCCTTAGGTGTTTTCATTTTGCAATATGACAGCTCAACAGAACGTGTAGATTTTTAAAAATGTAACAAAATTTCTAGTACCTGCATTTAGTTGTGTCAAGTCAGCTCCTAACATTTGTGGCAAAAAACAGTGTCATTAACGTATGGTTTTTCTTCACTCACAGATCAAGCAAATGTATGTGCAGAGAAAGGTGGGTCTTGCTTCCTTTATAATGCTAATTCGTACACATTAACATAGCACGGCCTGAATTAATGCTGAGAAATAAACAGCAGAAATTTTAAGTACATAATAAGGCATCTAATCATTATCATCATTTCTTTCCTAACAGAAAAGAAAAATCTGTTGAAACAGATCGGTAAGGTCATGCATGATGTATAATATTGTGGTGTCCTTATCATACAGCTGCAGGTGAAGAGAAATGGAATTCTGGTCAATTTGTGGAGCTAACTTGATTTTAACTCCCCTTATCAGGGATTGTTCATAAATGAGTGAGGGGGAATGGGGGAGCACTGCTTTTAAAACCTGCCCAAATAATTTTCCATCGACTTTGAGTTAAACATCTGCAAGATGTACATCTAATTTTGCAAACAACCTCAATGACAAGGTTAAGTTGAAGCTTTCCATCCATATTCCCATTTCTAATTGATTTATTCTCTTCCTCTATACTGTGTCTTCACTTCCTTTTCTCCTTTGTATAGTTCCAGCACATGCGTATAGGCCCGTCAAAACCACTTTGATATCAGACAGTACACTAGTTTCTTGTGTGGAATGTAACGCGGGCATTAATTAAATCTGATGATTCTGTCATTACTCTTGCCAGTCACAAACAGGGCAGTAGAAGAGCCTGTTGCAACAAAGATTTGTAAACTGTTATCATTTGGAGAAGAAAATGCATTGTTGTAGAGAGCTCTGCAGAAGAGATGTTTTTGAAGAGGTCAGAAAGTCATTATGAACAGGGAATTCAAACATTGTTTCCAAGAAGACATGCAATTTGTGTGAAGTGACTCAATCAGATACCTGGGTGATTAATTGCTGAATGTTTACAAAGTAGAACTTTTACAAATGTAGAAAGAAAAATGGCCAGAGGACAGAGCTGGTTTTCAATTCAGAAGAACAGTTTCAAGCCAGTAAAGGGGCAGTTTGTTTATGAGCCTTTTGGCTGGAAAGAAGTCTTTTGTTTATAAAGCGGCCTAAGGAAAGACCCTCTGTGTCTTTTAAAATTGAATGGAATATGTTTGTCATTTTTTCTGTCTCTGGGAGAAACAGTAATGGAGAGAACCACATCTGACAAATGCCTTGAAAGTCACTGAAAGGAAGTACTTGCACTGTCTTCAGTTAAGAAATTTAAAAAGTTAAGTTTGAAATGAAATTTCAGTGAAATTGAGTAGCTGTAAAGGATACTATTGGGAAAACAGTTGACTCCTTCAGTTTGCCGTTTTTGTCAAGACCTTTCTAAATTGGTTTACGTGTTTTTCAACCCTTTTTGTGTGGAACTTGTATTGTTTGTTAAGGGAACTGTGTGAGAACATTTTCAATAATTAACCATCACAGGAACCAAACTGCAAAAATAAAGCTCGTAAGTTATCAGGCCAAGTTTCACCCTGAGATCCGACTTGTCCAGTACCACCATCAGCTGGGTTCATAATGCTGTAACATTTATTTTGGTGTCTTTGGCTTTAGAGAAAGTAATCAGCAAATGGCGTCCTGTGATAGAGTTAGAGTTATGGTTAACCCTAACCTGATCCTATCCTGCTCACTTAAATGTACAGTGACTTTGATTGGAAGTGTGCATGTTAGTGGAGTCAGACTTAGTTTTGATGCACAATGTGGACTTATACACATATATGTTACGTTATATGTTATATACAGTCTTATGTATTGACAGACATAACACAAGCCTGTCTGAATGGGAATGTGGAGGGGACAAACATCTCTCAGGCCTTTATCCAGGGCCTCAATACTGCATGGGAGTAGAAAACTGATAATGGACAAACAGCACTTATATTTGGACTTGGTTGAAGTATCACGTTTATGTAACTGTGCTCCTTTTGAGCTAATAGTTAATGGTATTTTAGTTGTTTTATTAAGATAGATGGGCGACTGTTTAATTAACATCTCAGTTCACTCCGAAAGAGAGACTGCTAGGACGCTGGGCTGGTCAATGAAATGCATTCTAGGAATAAAATTGTTGTCAATTAAAGTATGAGTGTCTAGTTTTAACGCTGCACCTTGGGATCAGCGTAATATTAATTTGTTTTTTTTTCAGAAAATGAAAGGCAGGCTGCCAAATTAGGTAAGACTCCTTTATTACGAGGATCAGAATTGTCAATGAGTTTCTAAGACTTCCAGCATCTGTAGCTGTTACCTTGTGGTCAGTTTCATCTAATGAAGGTGGCACGGTGGCTCAGTGGTTAGCATTGCTGCCTCACAGCGCCAGGGACCTGGGTTCGATTCCACCCTCGGGCAACTGTCTGTGTGGAGTTTGCACGTTCTCCCTGTGTCTGTGTGGGTTTCCTCTGGGTACTCCAGTTTCCTCCCACAGTCCAAAGATGTGCAGGCTGGGTGGATTGGCCATAGGAAATTGTCCCATAGTGTGCAGGCTGGGTGGGTTAGCCATGGAAAATGCAGGGTTACGGAGATAGGATAGGGGAGTGGGTCTGAGTTCGGATGCTCTTCAGAGGGTCAGTGCACAGTTGATGGACCAAATGGCCTCTTTTTCCACATTCTGTATTCTCTGTTTTGAGGGGTGGAGGCAAAGGTGTGGTTCAGGATCTTCACTTGGTCTCAACAGGAAAGTGTCTACCCGTCCTTCAGAAATACTCTTGGTCGTTGAAGCATTTTGAGAGGATGAAACGTTCCAAATAGATGTCATTATCGACTTGTGATTTTAAATCATGAAGTTATATCTCAAACATATTCTCTCTTTCAGAATACAAGAAGCTTCTCCATCAAATAGGTATGAAGTTCATCTACTTGTTGCTTAATTGTTTATCTTTACTGTAACAGTGGTTTACGTTTTTGCATTCTAGTGATTTTTTGCCGATGTAACAATATGAGATTCAAGTTAAATGGTCATAGAGTCATTCGGCACAGAAACAGACCCTTCAGTCCAACTCGTCCACAACAACCAGATATCCCAAATTAACCTAGTCTCGTTTGCCAGCATTTGGCCCATATCCCTCAAACCCTTCCTATTCATGTACCCATCCAGATGCACTTTAAATACAATTATACCAGCCTCCACCACTTCCTCTGGCAGCTCATTCCATACCTGCACCACCCTCTGTGTGAAAACGTTACCCCTTAGTTCCCTTTTAAATCTTTCCCCTCTCACCTTAAACCTATGCCCTCTAGTTTTTGCAACTCCTTGTTACTTTAAATTTATGTGCGACTTGTAGAAAACTATTGACCTGTAAATACTTCTAAACAAGGGGTTCGGTTAGCTGAGTCAGCTAGATGGCTGGTTTGAAATGGAAAGCTATGCCAATAGCCTGGGTTCAGTTCCCATCACTGGGCTGAGGTTACTATGATGGACTCTCCTTCTCAACCTCTCCCCTCACCAGAGGCATGGTGACCCGAAAGTCTTTTTCTCTCTATTCATTCATGGGATGAGGGCGTTGCTAACTAGGCAACATTTATTGCCCATCCCTAATTGCCCAGAGGGCAGTTAAGAGTCAATCACATTGCTGTGGGTCTGGAGTCACATGTAGGCCAGGCCAGATAAGGATGGCAGTTTCCTTTCCTAAAGGATATTAGTGGACAAGATGGGTTTTTCCAACATTTGACAATGGATTCACGGTCATCATTAGATTCTTAACTTCAGATATTTACTGAATTCGATGTCCACCATCTGCCATGGCAGGATTCGAACCTAGGTCCCAGAACATTATCTGGGTCTTTGGATTAACAGTGCGGCGATAAGCCATTGCCTACCAATCATGTTTACCTCTCTCTTTCTTTCCCTCCCTCTTTCTCTTCCCCTCTCCCCCTCTCTCTCTCGTTCTTCCCCTCTCCCCCTCTCTCGCTCTCTCTGAGAGGGGAAACATTTAAACGTGACCTGAGAGGCAAAGTTTTCATGCAGAGGGTGGTGCGTGTGTGGAACGAGCTGCCGGAGGAAGTGGTGGAGGCTGGTACAAATATAACATTTAAAAAGTATCTGGATGGATACATGAAGAAGGGTTTAGAGTGATATGAGCCAAATGCTGGCAAATGGGTCTAGATTAATTTAAGATATCTGGTTTGCATGGATAAGTTGGACCAAAAGGTTCTGTGCTGTATGACTCTATATAACAAAGCTGCCCACAAATTTGGGCTATATCTGGTGATGGCATTCAACTCCTCTCTGTTCCAAGCATTAAATGTCTTCATATGTGTGCTAGTTTGTCTTATGGAACATCTTAGATCGACTTTGAGTCAATTCTTGTTGCTGTGTAACCGTAAATGTGCCCAATATTTTTTTTTATTCATTCATTTTGTCGTTGGCGAGGACAGATTTTATTGCCAATCCTGGTTGCCTGTTGAGAAGGTGGTGGTGATGAGCTGCCATCTTCAACCACTGCCATCTGTGGGCGTTACGTTACCCATCATGGATGTTCCTGGGTTTTGACCCAGAGACAGTATCAGGACAGCGACATACTCCCAAGTCAGGGTGGTATCTGAATATCTTGGAGGGGACCTTACAGGTGTTGGTATATTTCCTCGATCGTTGTGCAGAAAATGAGAAGGTATCACACAATCATGAACACAGAGTTGAATTTTTTTCTAAAAAAAAACGATTCCACCCTGGGTTATAGTTTAAATGAGTGCTGCCATCATTTATAACTTCCGTCTATCTAAAACTGCCATCATAATTCCCTTCTCCCTCATTTGCTGAGAAACTTGCGCTGTGCTCCCAATACATTAGAGTGCTTTGAAGTCTATTTGTGAAGTATGCACCAAAACGAGGCTGACTGATGGTTTAATACTTGTCAAAGAGCCTACAATCCACCAACAATCCACCAACAGATACACATCAACATGTAGTTACCCAGCCAATGACCCACACGTATTTTTCTTATTCCCTTCAAATATCTTGTTTTTTGAACATTCGTCAGTATTAGGTACGCACACGACAGAACATTCCTGCACAGTGCTTGTGTTTTCCTTTGTATTAGCACCATCATGTTTACAGGGACATTATGAAATGCACTGGTCACTGTTAATGGCTTGTGATTTTTTTTTTATTAGAGTGGGACAAGATGCTTAGATGCGCAGGTAAGCAAAATGTTCTCCAAAATTGTACATGCACAGAACTATCCAGAAAGAGAGCCGTCTGTCCCCAGCCCCTTCCATTTTTCACTCACCTCAGCGATGTTGGTTTAGAACTGGGTTGGTTTTCACATCTGCAAAGCCAACTACCCAGCTCTACCTGGCCAAACTCCTCCATAGCCCGAAACACAGAACCCCTGACGGTGTGGAAACAGGCCATTCGGCCCAGCGAGTCCACGCTGCCCTCTGAAGCACGGCCCACCCTCTCCCCTATAACCCTTTGCATTTCCCATGGGCAACCCACCTAACTTACACATCTCCGGGCACTATGGGACAATTTCCCATGGCCAATCCACCCTAACCTGTGCAGCTTTGTGGACGGTGGGAGGAAATCCACACAGACGCAGGGAGAATGTGCAAACTCCACACAGACAGTCGCCCGAGGGTGGGATTGAACCCGGGTCCCTGGTGCCATGAGGCAGCAGTGCTAACCACTGAGCCACCGTGCCGGTGAAAGATCAGACTGTGTTTGTCCAACGCCCGCTTCCTGGTGAGCGCTAAATTGGCTGCAATTAAATATCGGCCAGGCCAAAGCTATTGTCCTCAGTCCCTGCTGCAGACAACTATGTTCCTCTCCCTGAGGTTACCATTCTGCAGAAATACCTAATCCAGAGGGGAGGGGATGCTCTGTTGTGGAATGTGTTTGAGACTGCAATTGAGGGATTGCTGTTTTTTTGTGGTGGAATTGAGGGAAAGAGGGGCAATGGAGTGCAGCCTGAGATCAGGCCACAGCCCTGGTCTGAATTGGGATTAGGGGCAGGCCTGATGGGCCAAATGGCTCTCCCGTTGCTCCTGGTCCTTGTGTCACCAGTGTGGGACAAGCGGGTGAGGGGGTGGAGTCTCTTGCCTCTTGTGCAGATGCAGGTTTCAATCGTGGTGGGGGGGATGAAGGTGTGAGGTGGATTGGCGAACAAAGGTCTCAGTAACATCTCTGCTGCAGCTTCAGTCACCCTGGATCCTGACACGGCAAATGGAAACCTGGACGTGTCGCTGGATCACCTGGCGGTGAAGGATGGTGGCGGGTGGCGCAATGTCACAGAGAACCCGAAACGCTTCGAGCGGTACCCGTTCGTCGTGGCCAGCGAAGCTTTCCAGTCGGGAAAGCATTACTGGGAGGTGGAGGTGGGTGATTCCAATAACTGGGACCTGGGCGTGGCCCGGGGCTCGGTGAGACGGAGCGGGCGCATCGATCTGGACGAAGAGAACGGATACTGGGTCATCGGGCGCTACTGGGACAAGTACGAGGTGAAAAACGCGGAGAAGACGGAGCTGATCCTCAGCAAGAAGCCCACAAAGGTCGGGGTTTTCCTCAACTGGGAGGAAGGGTTGGTCTCGTTCCACAACGCAGACACGAAAAGCCAGCTCCACGTCTTCAGGACGCACTTTGAGGAGGAGATCTTTCCCTTCTTCTGCCCTTGGCGGTCTCAAGAGCCGTTGAGAATCACTCCTGTTACACTGGAGAACTGACCATTAACTCTCCTTGAAGCGCAGGGGCAGAGGTGGGCAGCCTAGAGGCCTACCGTCCATCACTTCCGCGTCCGTCAGAAACACGTACCCAACGATTCTCATCCCACTTTTCAGCTCTTGGCTGTGTATGGCTTAGCAACACAAGTGCGGGAGGTCAGATGTCAATATCTGCTCCCCTTTTTGTTTGTGATGTTCCCCCACTGTGGATAATGTTAAATGTCTAACTGCTAACTCTAACAGCCTGATGCTTCCTGATGTCATTTCTGTACGGTAGGCTGTGCTGATCAGAACTGGGAACAAGCCAGCCACTTTAACACTGTTAGCACCGCACTTTACCCATCTGATCCTCCAGCATGTCTCTTTGTACTCTCTCTTAATTTAATCCCCTAGAGAAACGCGTGAAGTGTTGGAAGGATTTTCCAGCAGACTGACCACCGGTTGAAATACTTTATGAACTGCCCTCCCATATTAAGGCTAAACATCCTGGATTGGGACTTGAAACCTTTTCTCGCTCAGAGACACAACAGTTACCAACTGAACCACAAGATGTGCCTAAAGGAGGCTGATTCCAGTTCTGCCTCCATCCTGGAGTGGGACTTGAACCTAGATCATCATTTCTCAAATGCTGCCCAATGTACCCACAGCTTGCTGACTTCTGGATTGTGCTCAGCACAATCTTACATGGAGAGATACCAGAGCATTTTGAATCCATCGCCTTAACCTCTCAGTCCTGACTACAACCAAAGTGTCCCTTTACATCTTGATTTGACTGTGGATAATTAATGTCTTCTGCCTGATATCCTGGAGCGATTAACCATGGCGACTGTTTTATTTCACCTGTTTGTACCAGAGGCAAACTGAGCAAAATTCATTCCCTCACTTTTATATCAGCTCATCCATCAGGCAATGTGAAATTAAATCTGTTCATTTCATTTTTTTTAACTGTTTCCCTGTTCAGTTGTAACAGCAAATACTGATTGGAACAAATGGACTCAATGCTGTTGGGAAACTCTGCACATGATGTTGCCTTGAAAGTGCGTAGCCATTAATTTATGGGGTTAAGTATAACACAAGGAAACTTCTCCACTCTCCTACCTCCCTGTCTGTCCTGACTCCCATGCCTCTGCTCTCCTGACTCCACGTTTGGAAGATTGTATTGAGAAGGTGGGACAAGTAACTTATGTTTCCAATTTTGACTTACTCAGAGGATACTGGGAGGCGCCTTCATCCAAAAGAGTGAAGGAAATTTCAGCTTTTGTAACACCGAATGGACTGTACCAGTTTTAAGTCATGCCATTTGGTAAGAAGAATACACTAACCATATTTCAAACACTAACCAATAAGGTCATTTCCAGATTACCCAAGTGTACATCGACCTGGTGGGTTTTAGTCACACATGGAAGGAACATTTTCAGCATCTAGCAGAATTGTTTAATTGACTTTGGGAGGTGGACTCGGTGATAAAGCTGACTAACAGTGAGTTTGCAAAAGCCCAAGTCACATTCCCTCACCCTACCCTTGGACAAGGACAGATGGCCCCATGGAACGTAAAAACAAAGGTCATTGGGGAGTTTCCCATACCATCGACGAAGAGGGCATTATTACAATTGCTGGGGCTGAGTGAAAATTTTATTGCAAATCTGTCCTGAATTTTAGCAGTGTTGTTGTTCCACTGAATGACCTATTGAAGAAGTGCAGGAAATTTCAGTGGATGGGAGAATGTCAGAAAGCATTTGACAGCCTGAAAGCAGTGTTGACCATCTCCCTGATGTCAGCTACCCCCAATGACACAAAAGCCATTCAAGCAGCTATTAATGTGAGTGATTTGGCTGTTGGTGCTGTACTTTTTCCAGAAGACGACAAGAGTACGGAAAGACCTATAGGGTATTTGTCCTGAATATTCATCAAAAGAAATATTCCACCATTCAGAAAGAGACCTTGAGTTTGGTGCTGACATTGCTTGCAATATAATGTTGAAATGTTGTAATGTACCTGAGACAATTGTGTGCACTGATCATAAACCCTTAATATTTTTTGGAAAACTTTAAAGATACCAGCCTGATAAAATGAAGTTTATTGTTACAGCCATTTAATTTGAAAATTATGCACATGGCAGGATGAGAGAACGTAATTGTTCATGTGTTGTCACAACTTTGATGAAGAAAGATTGAGGTGTTCAGTGACAGAAGAAACTGGACCATATTATTGAACATTTACATACTTAAAGTTAATGCAATGTATATGTATCATGTGGGGTACTGATAGCATGAGACTAATATCTTTGAAAATGAAGTCAGCTTTGCATATCGTGTTCATTTTTTTCGAGGGGGAGGGTGTGACGATACTGTGCCTTTAGGAGATATGTCCTGTCCTGTATCTTTTGCAGAGGGGTGGTGTCACAATGGTGTTGAAATGCATCATTTAGACGTGGAGTTGGTGAACAGCTTTGAGTGCTACCCTGTATTTTTATGTCAAGTAAAGCCAAAGATTCATGAGTGAGTGGACTCAGTCTCACACAGACCCAGTCAACTTTAGTTTGGCTTTCAGTTAGCTGAGTAGGTTTTTGCTCAAGCTGAAAGCTTGAGTTCTCTGCTGCTGGAGTGAAGTCTTCGAGCAATTCCTCTTAAAATTCAAAAGGGGCAGATAGTTTCTTTCTAGTGGACTGGAGAAAGACAGCACGTGGGAATAATACCCGTGTTGCTACTGAATTGTGTTTTCCAAGACTGTATATAATGGACACTGTCTATCTTGGAACAGTTGATGGCCGCAGGTTAAATAATACATAACTGTTTGGAGTATTTCCAGACAGTAAAGTTATGCCAATTCTTTTTGTTACATTATAAATGTATTGTAACAATAAAGTATGTTTTGATTAAAGCTTAGCGGTGGACCAATCGAATCATATCTGGAACACAGCATCTTAGACTTACCTTTTAAGAAGTATAGACGTTAAGGTCTAGGCTTCTCCCTAATATACTTTGGGGAGTTCTGCTCTGGTCCATAACACTGTGTGCTAAAGGTGGGATGGAAGAGTTCAATTTCCTTGCGTCGGTTCTGCTAAAAGTGTAGAAGTGCCTATGAAACACAGTTTGGGATGGAGGTGTTGGAGTAATGGATCCAAATGCTTTGGGGTCCCTGATTCTAATCCCATTGTAATGGCTGATGGAATTTAAAATTTAACAAATTGTATTAGTTAATCTGGATTGGACAGTTTGGCTCATCCACCACTTCCTCAGGTAGTTCATTCCACACACAAACCACTCTCTCTTTTAAAAAAAAAGTTGCCCCTCAGGTCTTTTTTAAACCTTTCTCCTCTCACCTTATAAATATGCCCTCTCCTCTTGAAATCCTCAGGAAAAAACAACTGCCATTAACCTTAATCTCATGATTTTATAAGCCTCTATAAGGTCACCCCTCAACCTCCTATGTTCCAGTGAAAAAAGTCCCAGCCTATTCAGCCTCTCCTTATAACTCAAACCCTCCAGTCCCAGCAACATCCTTGTAAATCTCTTCTAAACCTTCTCCAGCTTAATATTATCCTTCCTATAACAGGGCAACCAGAACTGCATACGTACTCCAGAAGAGGCCTCACCAACTTCTTGTACAACCTCAACATGACATCCCAACTCCTATACTCAAAGGTCTGAGTAATGAAGGCAAGCATGTTAAATGCCTTTTCAACCACCCTGTGATGCAAAATTCAAAGAATTATGTACCTGAAACCCTGGGTGTATCTGTTCCACAACACTACCCAGGGCCTTCCATTGGTATAAGTCCTCCCCTTGTTTGTTTTACCGAATTGCGATTCCTTCCATTTATCCAAATTAAACTCCATCTCTTTGGCCCATTGACCCAATCAATCAAGATACCTTTGTAATCTTGGATAACCTTCACTGTCCACTAATTTTGGTGTCGACCGCAAACTTAGTAACTGTGCCTTCTATATTGTCATCTAAAACATTTATACAAATGACAAACAAAAGGGGACCCAGCACCGATCCCTGTGGAACACCACTGCTGGGAACAGGCCTCCGGTCTGAGAAACGACCTTCCACCACCACTCTCTGTCTCCTGTCATTAAGCCAATGTTGTCTCCAATGTTGTCAATGTCTTTTGAGAGAGGTGAGCACTGTGTGCGGTTAGTCCTCTGCTTGATTTCCCTCTCTGACTACACCTTGATTTAGTCCATTTCTGCTCCTCCTACTCTTGCCCACCCCCCACCTCACCTTTGATGGTTTGCATTGCTCAAAAAGGGGTTGGTTTGTAAGTACTGGATTGGAGACACGGGTGTTTTTACCCATTTCTTAAAGAAAAAGGTCGCTGTGATTTTGGTGCTGGGAACGTGCTCAGTCGTCCGTGGTGACACTTTTTGGCTGGAGAAAAAAATTATTTCCAGAAAACAACAATTGCATTCTTTGATGCTGGTCCTCTGGATTTAATCAGGTCAACTCTTGGTTTGGAGTTTGCCTTCCAGACAGTAGGAGTAACCTGTCTGAAATCCGTGACACTCTGTCCAAGCTCCCACTAATTGATCTTGGATTCTTCTTACTAATCACGATGACCAACCTCCTCATTGGTTCATGCACTCTTCCTGAGTTATGTTCATTTGAAAACTAATATTATTAAAGATCACATTCTTACAGCGTCTCAGTTTTCCGCCAATCCTTTAGCTGGCGCATCAGACAAATCTTGGTCAGAAAAAGAGACTAAGTCTGGCTATTCACGTTAACTAGAGTAGAGTGGAATTCCTGCCTGTCTCTGGGCAGAAATCATGTCCTTTAGAGGGTTTGACCAGCTTAGGGGAGGCGTGTGGGTTTTGGTGAACAGGTGGGTAGAAATCATTGAAACCCTACAGTGTGGACACAGGCCATTCAGCCCATTGAGTCCATACCGACCCTCTGAAGAGCATCCCTCCCAGAACCACACAGTACCCTGTTAACCGTAACCCTGTATTCCCCATGGATTGCCCACCCAGCCTGCACTTCCCAAGACATTATGGACAATTTCCCATGGCCAATCCACCGTAACCTGCACATCTTTGGACTAT